CCCCACCCTCACGTGGCAAAATAAAAAAAGGGGGGGGCGCAGAGCATTCATCTGCTGACTACCCCCATTCTAACGGGGTCCCTTGAGGTGAGGACAACGTTGTCTTAAGCGCTTTGCACAATAAGCCCAGCAGCACCAGCACAGAGGCAAACCCAATAAAAACTTGAAATAAAATCCACCAGCATCCAAGATTCCTGGGTTTAAGAGACTACCACATCCTGCAGGCACCTCACCCCTATTACCATTTAATTTTTAAAGTTTCTCAAATGCTTTTGTAATAGGTAATTTAGCAAAAGAATTTTGCTTCAGCTAAAATGGATGTGTGCTTGCTATGGCTTCAGCTCAGATGGGTGCGTGCTTGCGATGCATTTGGAAAAAGGATAGTGTTAGATAGGATATCAGACAAAAGCAACAGTTGGAAGTACCGGACCATTGCAAAACAAAGGGTGGTGTAGTTAGCTAAGATAACCACAGGAGTGTAAAGAATAAAGGAGCCACAAGAAGGACATGGTGATAAAGACTTCCAGCCTCCCTCCGATGACCACCAGGAAGACCCCTGAGGAAGCATATCGCCTGCGCCACTAGAAAGGAGGGGGCATGTTCGGGGGTGGGTTGCATTCCAAGAACTCATTGATTATGCAAATTTTTTCGAAGAAAAAAACATGAATAAGTATAAGGAATACGAAATAAAAACAAGCGTTTGTAAAGGGGAAAACGAGCCACAGGAGGAGAAATCCCCTGTGTAACTCCCAGCGCTGTAATAAATATTCTTTAGCCACAGGAGGAGAAATCCCTCGTGTAACTCACAGCGCTGTAATAAATATTCTTTGCTCCACCGAATTTGCCCCGACTAAAATTCAATATAGAGTGTGCATTTCTCACACTTTTAAGTTGCACCTTTTCGCATGTTGAGAGATTAGTTTAGCTTAAATATGTTTTAATTAGCATAAATTACTTCGGGTTATAATATGGTGTGATATATGCTGTTTGTTTACTTAGCACGAGTAGCTAGATTTACTTAAGCCTTTAGGCCACAATAGAGTTAATTTTCTTAGTAATTTTCCTAGCAGCTGGTACAGTACTGTGTTTAGTCTTTTAGTATGAGGAAAATGTTGATAACACACTGGTGTTTTGGTAGTGTTTTCCCTAAGTCTGGGAACTGAAAAGTCCCGATGTTCTGCCAGCAAGCACAAGTGCACAAGAAGCATAAACCAGAAGATAAGGACGGCTACAACCATCAGCAGAGACAGCAAATCAACAAGATAAGAGCAGTCAACAGCCTGCCTGGACACAGAAAAAGAATCCAATGAGGTGTTAGAAGACCCCAGACCAAAAATCACCATTGGGCTAAAGGATACGTGAACAGCATACTAGAGGCAGGCAAGATTGGAAGGGTATAATTGCCCAGGCATTTATTTGTTCAAAGTCTCTCCCTTTTCAGAGGCACCCAGCCTGGGCTGACCTTGCTGCTGTATCTTTTAATTAAATTACTTATTTCTATAAAAACTGATGTTCAAGACTGCTGTGGGAAACCTAGGGTCAAGCTTGAAGAAGGAGGGAGCATACCCGAGAATAAGTATGTGTGAGTGAGTAGTCAAAAGGGGCACCTGTCAGCCCACTGGGGTCACCTACTGCAAAGGGACCCTGGTCCTAGCAGTTAAAGACTCAGGTGGTGTGTGTGCGCAACTCCTTGAATGGTGTGTGAATGCTCAGGCAGCAGCTTCTCCTTTAGCATTGCACAGCATGGCAGTAAGGGCAAGCAGTACCATCACTCTTTTTGAACTAGCTGGACTAAAAAAAAAAAAAACAAAAAAAAAAACACAACACACACAAAAAAAACACACACACAGAAAAAAAACAAGGAAGACCTAATAATGCCTCCAGGAAGCTGACCCTGATGGGCAGGATTGAGGATTTGTCATGGCATGGCAGCAGGCTTACATTGCGAGAAACGGTCACAGCTTTCTTGAAGCCACAGCCAGGGAAGGGAGAGCAGTGGCCTGGAGACCCCCCAGGAGCTGCCAGGGTAAGTTCACATCTCCTCTCAGCAGCACAACTAGCAAGTTACACACCTCCTGAGGACAAGGAGCAGCACTGAGCTTCAGACCCAGCTTAAGAGCTGCGTTTTACCCCAAATCTGCACAGGCACTGAAGAGAACGAGGGTGGCTTCCTGATCTCTGTATGAATGCAGACACTACTCACAGTGAGATTCTCAAGGTCCCAGCTGGGAAAAGGACTTTGGGATCCAGCCCTCTTTATGGTATAAGACACCTCCCTTTCTTTGAAAGGGGACAAAAAGGAAATATAGACTGCTACCAGCAGACTTCAGGCAGGTCCCAACTCAGCATGGTGTCTGGCAGCCACCCCAAGGCTGAGCCTTCTACCCATAGCAGGGCTTGGTTCTGCTCCAAGAACCAGAAAGATGAAAGTTAGAGGCTACAGAGACTCTTAGATACTTAATTAAAATTGAGTTATATACTAAAAGACAACGCATGACAGCACATAATCAACTTGACCTGTAGCAGCCATAGAACAAGAGTGGTTTTAACCAGACAGTGAATCGTTAGGAAATTCAGTATGACAAAAGGATTTGCGTTATTGGTGAGGGATGAGGAAAACTCTACTCTGTGCTTGTTCATTACAAAACTTTGAGATCAAAACTGGCATTTAATTCCAGACTAATTGATGTAGTTCTCAGAAAACTTTTTGCAGAAGACAACTAAAGGGAGACTTTCTATTGTATTCGCATGACTCGCCAAATACACCTAATATAGCAGCAGTCAGGGCTATCAGGTTATACTGCAATGAAAAACATTGCTTTATAAGCTTTGCT